AACGCAATGCATGATTTGTATTTTATAATGAGGGCGAGCAGAGACGATGACGACGCCGTCGACGACGACGACGATGATGATGATGAAGACATTGACAAAGGCATAAAGCGCGCGCGCGCTCGACTTCATTTGAAATCTGACGGGATTTACAATTTATGACTGGAAGTTTGGCAAATTGCGTAAATATACTTTCAGTTTGTATATGCGGGCATACAAAGTGCGTTAGCCGTGAAATTGCATCTAACCAATGCTCGCATTTAAGTCATGTTCAGAGCAAATTTGATCAACTGCAAGTTAAACAATTAAGCCAGAAAATTAAACTTTGAATTGCGAGCGTTTCTAGCTGTCGCTGCATATAATAGATAACTGTAACAGTGTTGCCAATTTGGCTATTTTCTAGCTACATTTGCTGAGATACCAGAGATTTTCAAGAGAAAATTGTTGATATTAGCAGTTGTCTGTATTTGTGAATATTCTGTAAAGTGTTCTTTTGGCATTTTTGGTGCCCAATTCAATAGGACTTATTTTACCATGAGTATAGTGCAGCTAATGTTGAGTGTTATATACAGCATCCCAATGATAAGTAATGACAATCCTGTTTATCAATAGCTCAACGGTGAAATAGTGTCAAAAGAATGTCAGCGGAAACTTTGGGATGCTTGGATGGCTAATCCAGCAAGCAATTCATTAAAAAAAAAAGCTGTGACATACCCTGCAAAAACATCTGCCTGTCTACTAATATAAACGTTAAATTATTTGAAAAAAAAAAGAGAAGGCACACCAAAAATCACACCAAGCACGTTTTGGATGCTAGTAAATTAATCTTTTCAACTGCTTTAAAGGAAAGAACAGTCAAAAAGGTGGCAGATCTAGCTTTAAGTATCCTCATGTGTTTGTAGATAAAGTCTAATTAATTATATTTAGCTATTTATAGCTATTTGAAGCTATTTAAAGTTTTTTATAGCAGTTTAAAGCTATTTTAAGCTATTTTCAACAAAGGCTTTAGCTACTTTTTTGATGCGACAGTTGGCAACACAGTTCTGTAGTTTTATTTACATATCTCCAGCAGCCGCACAGTGTTCACAAGCTGCGAGTGTGTGTGTGTGCGCATATGCGTGTGTGTATGTGCGTGTGAGTATCTGTGTGTGTGTGTGTGTGTGTGTGTGCATAAGCGCTCTAGTTGCCAGCAGGAATCAAAACATCACGAAATCTCGTTAAAAACCACAGCGCAAAGCAAATACAAAATACAAATATGTGCCGTTAGCTTTGTTTTAACTGCTGCTGCTGCTGCTGCCGCTTTTTACGAATAAGAAGAAACCTGAGTAAAAAAAAATAAAATATAAATAATAGACAAACAAAAGCAGTAACAGCAAACGGCATTGACCAGCCAAGTGGGCAAGTGGCCAAACAGCCGCTGCTTTTGGCCCGGTCAATTGTCGGTTATTTGAAGTTTGTAGCCAGTCTTCATAATTTGCTACAATTAATTTGTGTGCGCGTGTGTGTGTGTGTGTGTGTGGGTTAACGCGATTCAATCACTTGACAAACTGCAGCGCAGGTGGATAGACAACAACACAGCAGCAGCGCACTTTGACCTTCGCCTGACGGCTAAATGAAATGCAGCCCAAGAGTGGCAAAAACTTCACAGCTATCTCGGCTGGCAGACACTCGAAGCACGAAGTTCGTTGGCTGTCTGCCATTTGAATGACGTGCAACAGCAGCAACAATGGCGTGCAATCACAGCAACAACAACAATAACAACAACAGCAACAATTGGTGTCAAATGCTACCGTAACACGCCACGGCGCATAGCTGCTGCTGCCAGAATTTATTGGTGCAGCTTGAGAAATTAGCCCCAAACATAAATGACTATTATGGCAACTAATTTCACTCGGCCAAAATGTGCTGTTGACAGAGAAACCTAACCCTGCCACAGGCAGCGAGACATAAAGTCGTATCGCCTCTCTCTCTGTGGAACTGCTACCAAAATGCTGCGCAATTTGCAACCGTTTGCTGCCGAAAATACAAAAAATTAAAAAAAAATCTTTGGAAGCAAAAGTAACATCCAACAAACCCGCGCCGCCCACGCAGCCCATAAATAAGTCAGCATCAGCAACGGAGTCGCTTAGCGCAGCAGCGGCAATAAATCTGAGCGCGTGGGCCACGGCCAAGCGGCGTCGTGCGACAAATGTCAGCGGCAAATGAGGCCACGCCCCAAAAGTGCGTCATCAAGTAGGAAGCGCTAGAATCAGACACAGATACGCACACACACACACACGCATACACAGATTCATCTCGTGGCCCCCAAGTGCGTATTAAGCCGCATTTCAGTTTTAACAAGACAAAACGTCAATCTTCTAGACCGATCATTAAATACCCTTGCATACATCTCGTGGCCATCAAGTTTTCTATATTCACAAGAAAGAAAGTCAATTTTCAGCACGACGAAGAATAAATACCCTTGAATACCCATGGTCTTGATAATTTGAGAAACTCAATTCTTTACCGATTCTTATTAGTAGTAGGATAATATAGTAGTCCGATTTTCATAAGATTTAGCTCCTCTGTAGGGAACATTGTTAATCTCGAAAATAAATAAATCACGAAAATCAGTAGTTATACAAACAAAAACTAATTTTTCGACCGATTCTTACTATAGGGGCTATATAACATAGTAGTTCCATGAATATAAGATGATGCTCTTCTGATCGTAGGGAACATAGTTAAAATCGGTATGGCCCTAGCTTGGTCAATAAATCATGAAAAACGATAAAGGTTTTAAACAAAAACTCATTTTTGCACAGACTCTCTACATAGGGCTATATGATATAGTAATTCCATGATTACCAGATGTGGGTTATATGTAAGGTGCATGTTAGACATCGTATTGGCTGGATTTGATCAAGATATCTTAGAGAACACTCAAGTTTATTCACATATAAGAACTCAATTTTCAATCGACCGTTCCTGTAGAGTTGATATAGTTATCTGAGATTTACAGGAATCTGCTTATAATAACGAGGTTAAGATTTTGCGACCGATCATTCCTATGGCAGATATATGATAAAGATCCCCTTTACCAGCGATTCTAACAAATGTATTGGCTCCAATAGAAAGATGCATAACAGAAGCTTTATGAGTCAAATACAAGCATGGACACAGAGAGACGACTGATAGAAAATACTTTATACGATCTGCGGTGTCTTCTTTGATTCGTTAAACACTTGTGGAAAAATATATAATACCCTCTAGAAGTGTATAAGCTTCAGCTTTATGACTCAACTGGAAGTGGCCACAAACTATTAAAGAAAGCCATTAAAGAAAAGTGAGCGCATATATTTTTTATAAACTGTTTATGGTCATAGAACTAGGCCTCATTACCATATGCGACAGCTAAACATACACACACACACACACACATGTGTGTGTTTGTTGTGCCGTTAAGCCAACGCATTTAGCACTTGGCCTCCACTTGGCCACAACTTGCCAATGAATTGACACATTTGGCACAGTCGCAGCGAAATTTTTGGGATTATTTTTAGCCAGAGCAATACATCTAAGCCGAACTGACAGCAATTCCAGATGTGGCAGCGACGTTGAGAGTTTCGCAGGGGATGGCGTCTGAAAGATGCGGTCTGCACAACTAAAAGCTGTACTTAATACAATATGTTATGCACACTTATATAAAATCTACGAAAACTTCCGATAGCTTGAGGCATAAATTTTCGGTTGAACTGACAAACATTTGCTGCTCTTCAGCAGCAATTGCGATGTTTACTTTAAAAGGCAATGCATTATTTAAGTGTTTACATGTAGAGATTTACAGCTAACGTGAAATTTTAACATATGCAGCAGTAGCAACTGCTATTAACACTCTTTAGACTCGATAAGGGTAAAATAAGTATATTATAGGTTTTTGGAAATGTGTAATAAGCAGAAGTAGACTCGGATGGCCACAATATAGATCTACTTGATCGAAACAATTAGCTTAGTATGGAACTTAAAAAATAATGTAGTTTATATATACAATATATGCAAGAATATATTCAAAATATATACATATTTATAAATATACATATATACTAACTAGCGGGTATACCTCGGCCTTGCCCGTGGTACGTATAAAATAAAATAAAATTGATACAGACACAAATTGAGAATTGACCGAGTTATGGGGGTGAGAAATTTGACCCATGTCTATATAAGATTTTTGAGGGTACCATTTTCACCGAAATTTGACTAAAAATAATGTTGCCAGATTTTGATGCGGAATTGTTTTACAGGCCAAGTAATGAACAAAAAGCCACTCCTTATGAAAATCGGTTGATTTTTTACCGAGTTATGAGGGTGGGAAGTTTCGACCCATGTCTATATAGGATTTTTGAGGGTACCATTTTCACCGAAATTTGACTAAAAATTTGGTTGTCAGATTTTGATGCGGAATTGTTTTACAGGCCAAGTAATGAACAAAAAGCCACTCCTTATGAAAATCGGATGATTTTTGACCGAGTTATGAGGGTGGGAAGTTTCGACCCATGTCTATATAGGATTGTTGAGGGTACCATTTTCACCGAAATTTGACTAAAAATTTGGTTGTCAGATTTTGATGCCGAATTTATTTAGAGGCCAAACCATGAATAAAAAGCCAAACCTCGTGCAAATCGGATGAGATTTGACCGAGTTATGGTGTTGGGAAATTTTTACCCAAGTCTATATAGGATATTTAAGGGTTCCATTTTTAAATAAATTTGGTCTAGATGTCAAACCATGAACAAAGACCTCGTGCCATTTTTATATGCATTCTTGTTATTATCACTTTACGTTAAGGCAAAAGTTCGCATAGCAGAACGCAACAGCAACAAACTGATTTACAATTACACAAACATATTTCCCATTTAGTTGCCTTTGTCAACTTAAAGCTAACGCTTAAATTCCTAAACTGCATTATTCATATATAATTTGCACAGCTTACAAACGGTTAAAGTATTTGTGTTTTAACTTACCCATAAAAATTGTAAAGCCTCGCGCTGTGGCACTTGTCAACTGGTAGCTGAAACGACATAATTAAACAAAATTTATTATAAAATTAAACTAAAACCGAAACACAAATCATGTAGCGTGCAGCTAAAAGATGGAATATTGTTAGCCAGACTTCTAAAAATTATGCACAATTTGTCACGTCAGTTGTTGACTTAAATTATCACTCGAAACTGATCTATGAGCTGTTTGAGCACACGCACACACACACACACACACACACACGCAGGTACACACTTTCTATGACAAATTGGCGGCCAGCGACGCTCAAATTAGACTCAAAATCATGTATGTACACACACTTCAAGCGGCAGGCAACAACAGCAACAACGATAACACGTACTACGATTCGCTTGTTAACTCATCCAAAAAGTAAACCACATTCTTTAGAGCATTTGAAAAAGCAGTAGAAGAGCAGCAGCAGCAGCAGTAGACAAAAAAAAAGCTACACAAAACAACATGCGAGGCATAAAAAACACAGCAGCAGCAACAACAATAACAACAACAACGGGAACAACAACAAAATGTTGGAATAAAAAAACACGTTCAGCGCGTGTAGCAGCTAACATGGGAGGCAGCAGCTTTGGCCAGCCAAGCGGTTTGGGGGGGCGTGGCATGGCATAGCATAGCATAGCATAGCTTTGGCTGCCACTGCCAACTGCCGCCAACTGCTGCAAGCAAATGCAAAACAACATTGAAAGACGAGAAATCTGGCTACTGTAATTTGTCTGCCCCGCCATAGACACAGACACGCGCGCGCTCGAGCGGCCGATTTCAATTCGGTTGTGTCCAAGTGCGAGTCCAAGTTGAACGCCAGTTGCAATCTGCTGCTGCTGCATGCAGCAGAAGGTGGCAGGGTGGGGGAAGTCTGCAATACGGCTGCTCCACTTTTGTGGCGTGTGTCTCTCTGGTTGTGCGCCTCTCTGTCTCCAACTATTTGGCTCCAAAACAACATCCAACAAGCGGCAACGACGTCGCTTGGGCCGCCTTTGTCGCTGAGGTCAATTTTTATGTTGCAGCCATTTTTCAAGCAAACACACAAAAAACTTCGTTTCGTTAGTTTCGTTGGGCTTTTTATTTATTTTTTTTCGGGGCAACAACATTTTTTATATTGTCTGGCGCACTTAAATTTACGTATGAGTGTGTGTGCGTTGTGTGTGTGTCCGTGTGGGTTTTGTTGCAGAGTGCAGAGCCAACTTTGCAGCTTGCCACTTGGCCGGCAAACACTTCAACTTCAACTTCAACTACAACTTTAACTACAAAACTGCCTCAATTGCTTGACACTTCAGTTGTAATTAGTTTTGTGGCCATGCATGAAAATTTCATTTATTTTTTAATAGCTACACATGAAGACAATATGACCACGTGCTCAAATGTAGTTTGCCAACTGGATTTATGGATTTCGGGCAGAACGAGAAGATAGAGAGAAAATTCAAGTCTATAATCAAAACATTCTTATGCCAGCATTCAATCAAAAAAGCTCAAAAGCTCATTAAAGTCTGTCTCAATTTCTATAAAATACATGTCAAATTTGTTTTATATGATAGAAAGCACATAAAAGCTTTAATTGAATTCAAATGTCTTGTTCTCTGCAATAAAATCTAAGACTTTAAGAAACTGTTATCACAATAAAGCTTTTATTGACTTAAAATGTCTGGTATTTCTTTTGTTTAAGATTATTTTAAGCAATATAATCTAAAGAATCTTAAAGAAGCTGCATTCAATGCATGCAAACTTACGTCAATAAAAAACTTTTAAAGCACATTAAAGCTTTAATTGACTTTAAATGTCTAGTATTTCTCTTGTTTAAACTTACATTAGGCAATAAAATCTACAACTTCAAGAAGCCTGCATAAATTATGAAAAAAGCACATGATATATATATATATAAAAGAGTCTCCTTTCTATTAAATTGAAATTATAATTAAAATTTCTTTAATGTACTTCTCACAATTTTTAAATTAAACATAAATTTCTTTTATATTTAAATCACATTAATTGCATTGAGTACATAAATTAAAGCTCGGCTAAAGCTTTAAGTTTCGTTCTAGCTACATTTCTTTAAAAAACTATATTGTTAACTTAAATTTCATGTTTTGCGTACACTTTACTTGCACTTGGGAATAAATTAGTAGCATTAAATAAAGTGTAACTTTCTGTATTTGTTGACAGTAAAATATCAAACTAATGACATTGTTTACATGCAACCTTGAATTATTGCTTGATGAAAGCTTTCGGCAAGCAGACAATTTTGCATGCATACAACATAATAAACAGGCCTTGGTAAAAACACACACACACATACACAAACACAGAGAGACACTCAATTGTTACAATAAATTGCTTGTGTGTGAATCCTGTTCTGCCCTGGCACTTTCAAGTGTCTGCCAATCAAGGCAAATCAAGTTGAAATTATTGACAATAACAATAATGGCAAATAATAATCAGCTGCTGTTGCTGCTGCTGCTGTTGTTTTTTGCATGTGGCATGCAACGCTGTCTGCCAAGGGCCAAACAACAACAGCAGCAACGGCAGCAGCAGCAATAACTTTGGTAAGAAGAAAAGTGAAAATTCTTGTTGCTGTTTTCCAAGTGAAACTGCAAGGCAGGTGAAATAAATTTGTATCTGATACTTTTACTTGCCATTAAGCAGGGCTTTCATATATGCCACATGAAGTAGCTGCAACTGCAGTTGCCGTTGCCGTTGTTGCTGCTGTTCGCACATTTTCCCATTTTGCCCGGCATGAGTTTTCATAAATTTTGTTGCTACTTCTGTGTTGCATTACATTTGATTACAAACTGTGCAGCCGACATGTGCCACTTTTTTTTTGTTGCCGTTGAAAGTAAAATGAAACAGCCACAAAAACAACTGTAACTGAGCATGCCGCATGTGGCATGAGTAGCATAAATACATGCATACGTATAAAACATAAAACCTATGAGAAATGCATGTAAGTGTACTTAACAACAAGTAGAACACATGGCAGCAGCAACAACAACAACAACTACAGCAACAGCAGCAGCAACAACAACAACAAAAACAAAAGCAGCAGCAGCAACAACAACAACTGTTGCTTGCATGTTGTAAACTTTCAAAGGCATCGAATGTGCAGCAAATGCTTTTTACCAGCAAAAATATGAAAAGTTTAAATATACAGGTAATTACCTGGGCACAGCTTGTTGCCAGTTGGTTGCTGCTGCTGCTGCAGTTGCAGTAGCTGCTGCTGCTGCTGTTTCTGCTACCTGCATTTACATAAAGTCCATTTAGATCACAAAAAAAAAAACTGTCAGTCAAAGCGAAAAGGTAACCCAAACGAAAAACAAATCAAACAAATTCTCCAGTTGCCCTAATTAAATTCCTCAGACATAATATTGTGGTGCTTATAAATGTAGCCAGATGGACAGACGGGGGAGGGACAGGGACATGGAGAAAGAGGGAGACAGGAACCGGGAAAGGGAGAGAGAGAGAGAGAGAGAGGGAAGGGGAAAGGGAGGTCCAGTTGCGGGTCCAAGTCTTTGGCAAACACTTTTCAAATGTTGTTACCGGCTTCACTTTGTGCTTTTGCGTGAAAAGTTTCAATGCACGCAAAAGCGTGAAAAGAAAGTGCGCATAAGTTGAAAGCATATACGACTAGCTAAGTACACTATTGGTGAAACAAAATTATAGAATGGGCTATGTAGAGTCAAATAAAACTGGGATTTGGTAAGTAAATCTATATCTATGTTAACTTGCAGTGCGTGCAGCATATACGACCAGCTACATACTCTACACTTTATACAAATACGTTGACACTTTCATATATTTAACCACATTTACATTAAGTATAAACCTTTTTAAATTTTTTCTCTATAGTTAACAGTTTGTACGACAAGCTAAATACACTATTCCCTTCTTATATAACTTTATAATTCTTTTTAAATATTTTCAATATTGAAATTTCTAATAACCAACTGATTTTCAGTTTAACTTTTGTCTAATATTAAGGAATATCTAAGCCCAACTGAATACTCTAAAGGTAATTTAAATAAAAAACTACAACCCAAACTTTATATTAGAAACAACTGATTTATCTGCTTAATAAATATTTCTCTGCCTTTTCACATAATCAACATGCCCAACATTTTTGCCACAATCTGCAGTGTATAAAAATATATTAAAAAACAAAATGAGGAACAGAAATCATCTTTTTGCTTGCGCAAAGTTCATCAAAACGACATAACTGCAGTTGGCAGCGAGCAACAAATGTAGCCACCACGCCCCAGCCCCGCCCCAATCGCAGCACCAGCTAAGCCAAGCCACTGAGCCACTGAACCACTTAAACCACCCTTTTGGCCACCCACTTATAGAGCGCTGGCATTGCGGTAAATGGAACGCTGTAGCTGCTACAGATTCGAGATTGAGAACGGGCCACTTGTGCGCAGTTTTGTGGCAAACAATGCATATGACAAACTTTTGTCAATTTATTAAAAACTTTTGCGCGCGCACAAAGTTAACCTGATTCCCAGGAGAGCAGGCGAGAGGTGAGCAGAGCGCCAAAGGGGTGAGGGAGAGGGGGGACGGGGGGGAGAGTACGCGGTGCATGGCAATTGCAATTGCAATGGCTGAAACTGGTCAGTCAAGAGCAGAGCAGAGCAGAGCAGGGGAGCTAGAACAGCAGCAACAGCAACAATATCCAAGTTGTGCATTGGGCTCATCAGCAAGAGCAACAACAATCAACAATCAACAACAACCAAGAACCGAGGGGCAGCAGCAACAACATCAAACAACTTTCGTTGTTGTCGTTTATAAAACGAGCGCATAAATTTATGATAACAACACACAAAGGCAAACGGGTCGGGCAATTGGCCAAGTGATTGCACATCCAGATGCCGCAGCAATAGAAGCTGCAACTGGAGCTGTTGCATCCGCGTTGCATCCAGTTGCATCCAGTTGCCCAACTGGTCGATGGCCAGTGCCAAAGCTGTTGCAGTTATGAATTATGTCAAATGGCATAATTGCCAACTCTCAGCAACG